ATGGACCAGCGATATATTATCTAAAACAAGGTGGAGTGAATAATTCAATTATTCGTACAATCAAGGTTAATTTTACTCTCGGGAAAACTTGACTTTGTTTATCAAAGATAGGCTAATTATAATAGTTCCCATTTAATGTAGGAAAAAAACCCGTGGTGTCCTTCAACAAATTTGGATTTTCCCTTGAGTTTTCCCTCGGTAAAAACCTAAATTCGTGGGAAAACAAAAGGAGAAATCCAATTTTGGAGAAAAAACCACCGTTTTTTCTTCGTTGAGATTATCTAAGTCATAACGAAGAAGAAAGGGTTGAAACAATGATATATGTATCACTTGATTAGATCTATATTTCTGTATTTTTTCAAAACCTAGATTCTTGAATTAAATTTTTAGAATATTCTAACAAGGATGATACATATCACGTTTTTAAAACTCTAATCTTTATTGGGCAAGTCTTCCCATCAACGTTTTCTCGATCCTGTAGTTCCATGGTTTAATTGACCTAAATAAATGAGAGCTGCTAGATTGTATCAACGTCCCTCCGACAACTAATTGCAAGGATTACAGTACTATTAGATTAAAGGAGAGGCATCCACCCCGCCCCTTGCCGTGAATCTGGAATAATGCTTCTGAGAGTTATACCCTTCAGATTAAATAGTTGGATGATTGTATTCCCTTAAGAAGGATCGGATAGTTGTATACTTACGAATCGTTAGAGCACTTTATTAAAGGAATTGATAAATCTTACCCAAGGACCAAATATAAGGTATATGATATATAAAAATCCTTACAGTCCGCCATTAACTCAAAAGATTATTCTAAGGAAAGCATAAATCCAAATAACTCTCAAAAGCATTATCATAGATTCATGTCAAGAGGCTAGATGGCTCTAATAGTACTGGTATAAGTAGCATACAAGTATTTTAAATTTGTAATCCAAAATAAAGCAGATCGTTTTCACACAAGCATAATGATTCAAATACAAAATACAGACGCGTTAAAGCTTGAGTTTGATATTGGGACTATTTTGGAAACTAATCCACTACTGCCTGATGAAGTTCTGCCCGATATTCTTACAGAAATTCGTCTGTCACTAGTAGATGCCGATAATATTGATAAAATGGAACTGTTGGACATTGTTCGAAGACAAGTATGTACAAGCAAACAAGCGATCAGTAAAATAATGAAGTCAGCAAGCAGGGGCGCCTCGATAAGTGCCGAGAGAAGAGGAATCTCCTCTCCTGTTTCATGAAAACACTGACTGCGAAATCAGGATTTTCTTACTCCGAAAGTCAGGTCTTTGACTTAGGAGAATATCCCACGGAGTAAAGCGTTTACTCGTATTTCCAGAGTAAAACAATTACTCTAATTTTTAGAGTATAAAAGGCTTACTTTCAGTTTCGAAGTAAAGCGATTATTCCCATTTTCAGAGTAAGGCGTTTACTCTCAATTTTGGAGTAAGATATTTATTCCATTTTGAGAGTAAAAGGCTTACTCCCAGTTTTGTAGTTAAGAATTTACTTTCTTTTCAAACGTAAAATATTTACTTCTGTTTAAGTATGCACCGGTATCGGTATACCGAATACCGAAAATACCGAACTTCGGTATATACCGATACCGAAAATACCGACTTTTTTTGACTTGGAATTTTTTGGATTTTTTCATTTGAAATGAGGTATTTTAGCATCCTGGACAAGCAGAACGTATAAACAACACTCAGCTGTGTATTTTGAGCATGTTCAGATAGAAAGAAAAGAAAAACTTTGGCTTTAGAAAGCAAACAAAGCTCTTGTTTTCCGTCCCTGATTCATTCTGGGTGTCCAGGACGCTAAAACATCTCATTTCAAATGAAAAAATCCCAAAAATTCTAAGTGAAAAAAATCGGTATTTTCGGTATCGGTATATACCGAAGTTCGGTATTGTCGGTATCGGTATTTCGGTATGAATACCGATACCGGTGCATACCTCCTTCCGTTTTCGGAGTAAGACATAGACTTCCATTTTTAGAGTAAAGTATTTGTTTTTTCTCTTTCTGTGTTTGATAGAAAATAAAATTCGTGCCATGTACATAAATAAGATAGGATAAGTAGAATAGACTGCATCACGGCTTCAATAAATGTATTTTTATATTATAGGGCTTTGTGTTGAAGTAAATAGAGTTAGATAGAAAGAAATTCAGTCTTACTTTGAAAGAAAACTGTTGAGAATATTTGTCCTTTTTTTTTTAGTTTTACTCCAATTTTTAAAAGCACCGACAAAATAAACTACATCAATGGATAGAAGAGAGCGCAGGCTACATTTTGGTAAAAAGATAATTTTGAAAAGCTTTTCTTAGGAGTCAAAAGTGCCATACTCTCCAGTATGACTGCTGAATCTCGGGAATGAGTGGGTGGAAAACAATTCTGATTAAGCCATTTGCAAGAGCGTCCAAAACTGAGTAAAATAAATATAGTCTGGAAGTTAAGTGAAGGAATTTGACCCATCTTTCAACGTTTTGAATCTTAGGGCTATTTTTGAAGTATCTTTTCTGCGAAACCATTTGTGAACGATATCATTTTTTGGATATCGTTGCGTTATCATGTAGTCCAGTAGTTACTGTATAGGAATATGAAAAGAGAACCTTAGACTTATTAAGTTCAGAGGAAAAACGGGTTTCTGAACATTAAAACCGGTTCAGCATCTTAAACTGCGTTATCCTGTCAGGTGCACCTAGGGGCAATCATTGTTCTATCATCGTATAGGATTTTCAGAGAAAAAGATTTTCTCGGGATTTTCTGGAAAACCAGTTTTACAAAAATCCTCTGAAAATCTCGAAAGCATTTTCGTTGAATTCTACAATAAAGACAGGTTCCCAAAATGAACGGGACACACTTCCGGGACCCTCTTTGCGATTACCCACCGCCAACTCATTTTTTATTTCGAAACTTCGAAACATTTTTTTCTAGATTTGGTTTTATATGGTGAATCCGAATAAACTTTTTTTGAAGGTTCGAAAGAACCGAAGCCTAGATATCGAATGTTTTCGAAAAACTTGCCGTTTTTTTGAAATTCTCTCGATTAAAAAAGTTTTTAAAAATAAAGTAAAACACACATATATTCTTAATCAGTTCAATGAGCTCTATCCAACCAAGTATAAATATCATGAAAATAATATTGCTCCATTTTTGAATTATGGCCACCTTGCTATTCGTTCATTCTTCATGTTGGCAATAATGATAGATCACGTAGATGATGTATTACTTATTATGTATTAAAATAATATATCACACAAGGGCGTCATTACTTTACGTTCTATTAAATATATAAGATTGATGTTTGGTATCATATATATTTTTTTTACTGTTCACAATCTAACAATCTAATAACAATGTTTTATGCAATTAACGTGTATTATAGAAGATGTTAGTTCTATTCTGCGTAGTGCTGAGCATTTTTCGTTTAGCTGATTGTTCTTATCAACTATATACGAATAATAATGGTAACGATTGTTTGTACTACTACGATGATCTAGAAGGTGCACAAGCGCTCGTACTGTTGTCCTACTGTCATTATTCTGCTGACACGGCCAGAGATAGTGCAGAGTCGGAATCAAAGATATGTTATAATAATGGTGCACCATACACTTTCGACAGCCTGAATCAGAAGCATGTGCTAGTTAATGATTTATTTAAGTGGTATGCACCGATGAACAAAATTGATGAGTATCAGTCGTATCTCGATGATCACTTAACAGTATCAGGTGATACAGTCTACTGTAATTGCACCGAACAGCAATCGTTTGGTGAACAATGTGAATACAGTTTCAAATACAAAACTACTGCTCCGTTGATTTCTTCTTTAAAGGTATTAATTCAAGAGTATTACGTTAATAAACGTGATACAATTAAAGATTTTAAACTGATTACTGATGAACGTACGTGTTATCGAAAGTGTAAGGACATAAATAATCGTGTGGACATATGCCTTGATTGGCGTGAGATATGTGACAATAAAATTGATTGTTTTGATTTGTCGGATGAAGAGTATTGCTTCGAGTTAGAAACAAATAGATGTAACGATGAATTTGAGTATCGGTGTAGAAATGGACTATGTATTGATAAAAGTTTTTCATTTGATAATTATCCAGATTGTCTCGATTATAGCGACGAAACTAATATGTTGGATCGTTCGCTTTATGATAATTGTTTTGTTCAATTCAGACCCGATTGCGAAGATCATTTTTGTGGTTCGACGTATTTTTCTTGTGGTGATGGACAATGTATAGAAAATTTAAAAGAAAGTTTTACCAACAATCAATGTTATAATACATATGATAAAGCTTATTTGTCACAGATTAGCGAAAAGAATGATAACATATGTTGGATATACTTTATTTGTTCATTCAGTGTCAAACATTCATTCAATCATTTGTTCCGTATGCTCGACTGTAAGAAATATGTCTATGATGATGAAACTGCTGTCTATGAAATGGTAATAAAATGTTACTCGAAATTATTAGTTTTTCCACACAACACTTCAGTAGCATATCCATTCGTACGATTTGCATATAATGTTAGTAACACGACATATGAAAACATTGTGCCCGACTCTATTTGCTATGATCCATTATTGTGCCAAAATGTTTATCTGCCAACATTATCAATTGATGGTTTGAACTGTACCAAGTATGAATATTTTGAACTAAACTAGAATTATACCACATGGCACAAGTTAATACAGATCATACAAAATTTGTTTTCATCATGTGCGATAGATCATGAAAAATGTAAAAATGGATTATTTCGGTGTTCAGTAACTTTAAATCTATCTACTTGCATATCGAATGAACGTTTACTGGATGGTTTTACGGACTGCGGTAACTCTCGTGATGAAACGATTGATTACACTGATGTGTGCGCATTGAATTTATCTGATCGATTCCAGTGTATAAATACGAATCAATGTATACCTAGAAGAATGATTAATAATAAAAATTCAGACTGTCTAGATGAATCAGATGAATACCACTTACCAAGCTGCGGGCGCGAAAGAAATCCAGTTTTCAATGAATTTGTATGTTACTGGTTACGTGGTGATATTAAACTAAAGTTAGCAATTCCATTTCTTAAGTTATGCGATGGAATTGTTGACCTCAAAGAACATCGTAATATGACTGATGAAACGAACTGTGAACAATGGCCGTGTCATACGACGCTTACGAATTGCAGCGGAACATGGAATTGTCCAAATGCCGTAGATGAAATAAATTGTACGAATTATGAAAAGCATTTTGGATTATGTTCTTACAACGAATCATATTGCGTGCAGAAACCCTTTGATAATATGACATGTTATAATTTGGAATTAGCCGGCGACAATGTGAATAATTGTTTAGGAAATGTAGATGAACGGGTAAATGGCTATTGTCGCCTCGCCTATCCAGGAAGAAGACGTCAACGATTCCAATGCCAAAACAGTAGTATATGTTTAGATCCAAAACAATTGTGTGACTGTCGCCAAGATTGTCCATATGGTGACGATGAAAAAGCGCTGTGCAATTGGCTCACTGATGTTAAATGTGATCCGGATGGAAACATATTTTATTGCCAAAATGGTGAACCTATTGATTTGCAGTATCGATGTGATAGCTATTCGGACTGTGATAATTCAGAAGATGAATGGCTATGTGATATCGTAGACGACACTCGGCAGACAGGATATTTTCTGCAAGACATAAATTTCTATCCAGTACAAAATTACTTGCCTCTGATAGATGATAGTACCAAAGCAGAAAAACTGGGGCGTCAAAGTAAGAAGGTGATACCGCTGACTGTGTCTCGAACGTACAACGACAAATTATATTTTGCTTGGTATTGTAATCGAGGTTTAGTGGCACAAAATCGACGTACATCTAAAGACTTTTGTTTATGCCCATCGACATATTATGGCCCAAGGTGTGAATATCAACGGAAGCGTATATCACTTATTGTGCTTTTTTATGTGCCAATGCATTTGTACAAGAAAACAACTGTCATAAACTTTGTCTTCTATTTGGTGGTCAAAGATACTAGTGAAATCATTGATTATGAACAAATTAAGCATGTATCGCACAAAAATTGGTATAAAAAATATTATTTCTATTTGTTGTATCCAAAGAACGCTGCTGAATCAATACCTTACTCGAATTATTATATTCGTATTGATGCGTACAGCATATCAGCTGATGATGTGAAGTATATTACCACATGGTACTATATTCTGCAATTTCCCTTTCTGCCTGTTCATCGAATAACATTAAAATTAGTTTTGGAACAGTATACCAAAATTAACAATAAGCAATGTAAATGTGCCCATGGAACTTGTATCAAATATTCGAACGACGGTGGTAAATATTCTTGCAAATGTGATGAAGGATGGTTTGGCGAAAAATGTAATAAGGCTGACACCTTGTGCTCAGAATGTCATAGAAATTCTATTTGTGTTACTTTGAGTTTAACTCGAAAACCACTATGCGTGTGTCCCTTAAACAAAATCGGAACAAAATGTCATATAACATATGATTTATGTGAAACAAATAAATGTTTAAATAATGGAACATGCATCAATAGCGATTATAGGTTGTTGAAAAATGACGAAAAGTCTGTTTGTGTTTGTTCCCATGAACAATATGAGGGAACGGAATGTGAACAAAGAGCCAACGAAATTAATATATTGTTTGATATAGAAAAATCTCAGTCCTCATCTTTACCGGCTGTTGTCGTCCATTTCTGCTCGTTTGTCGGTAGCTGGTCGTATATTGGGCACACGTATCGCTCACTTTTCCGAGATGTATCCATTAGTAACAGTTCCATATTAACAGTCTATTCTACTTATAGCAGTTTTGCAGCGATGGGCTTTGTACAATTGTTTCCTGATACCCACTTTCCCTCTGGTATATTTTATCTAACTTTTTTCCCTAAAACAAGCAAAATGTCACTAATTTGACCGTGAAAGACGACATGCATTGCCCTCATATCAAAAACATATTAAATTCGACTATCATGACTTTTGTGTATCTGAAACGTGTCAAATATTATCAAGTACCTTGTAAAGGCAATATTGAATTGGCCTGTTTTTTTGACGATATGTATATGTGTTTATGTGATAAAAGGCGAACAACACATTGCCTTTTGTTTCATCATGCTCAAGATCAATGTACAAAAGAAAATTTATGTGAAAATGACAGTGTGTGTGTAAGAGATAATAATAATAATCTGTTGAATTATGTTTGCTTGTGTAAACACTGTTACTCGGGCTCATTATGTCAGTTGACCCTATCAGACTATTCGCTATCGCTAGACTCATTGATCGGTCAGGAAGTCGTAACGAATGGAGCACTGAAACAGCAGCCAATCATAATTAGATTAAGTATCATCGTTGTAGTACTAATGGTTGTCATTGGTCTCTTGCTTAACATATTAACAATAATAACGTTTTATCCAACATATTCTCGAGAAATCGGATGTACTCTGTATATACTATGTTCATCGATTATTGGTCAAGCAAGTTTATTTGTGCTTAGGTAAGATTAATTTTTCCTCAACGTCAGTGATAGTTCGAGTTTTCTTCTATTATAGTTTAAAATTAATACAGTTGATATTAACTCCAATAAACAATTCGTCCTTTACACTTGTTAGTTGTATTACTATTGAATATTTTCTCAGATTGTTTCCTGCATTATGTGATTGGTTGAATGCATTCGTGTCATGTGAACGTGCGTACAGTGTCAACAGCGGTCTCAGATTTGACAAACGTAAAAGTAAAAAATGTGCTAAACTAGCTATTATACTGCTTCTAATAATAAGCGTGTCAGCTATTTTACATGAACCATTTCATCGACATATTCTTGTTGATCCAAGAATTAACAGACGAGTTTGGTGCGTTGTGAGATATGAAAACAATAACCGTTTAAAACAATACAATTTGGCTATTAATCTAATAAATTACATTGTTCCGTTTACCATCAATTTGCTAGCTGCCATCAGTATTCTTATTTCATCCACAAAGAAGAAATCTCAAGCAAAACATGAACATTTTCGAATCATATTTCGAAAACAATTTCATCAATATAAACATCTGATAAGTAGTCCAATTTTACTACTTATCCTGGCATTACC